AACTGATTGAAAAATTGCTGACTTCCTTCAGAAAGGGAACTAGCTTTAAGAGAACTGAATGTAAAACTGTTCACTTTTCCTGAAAAAAACCCAGATTTAAAAGAACTGACATAGAAATGAAATGTATATATGTTTGTTATGTATGAGACTTTGGTCCTGGCAGGCAAGGGCACCAGGATCGCCAGTGATTATCATCGGGACCCACAAGGATGTAATAGAGGCTCGGGCAACCAAGAAGAATTTCACAGAGAACTGGGAAGAGGACTTAAACAAGCTCATAGATCAACAGTTTTGTCTCGTTGAGGAGCCGGACAAGTGTGGTCTTCCTAACATCATTGCTCGTATCAACATCAGTACTCGTAGCCGCCGTGACGTCAACAAACTCGTCGACTGTATCTACCGCACAGTGTTTGAACTCAAACATCCACGTATGTGTGTCTGTTGTTTGTAAGATTATGTCATTTTGAATCAGGTGGTCTGTCCTTAATGCTGGATAGAGTAGAATAAATCTAAATGTAGATATTAGGCCCTTGTTTAACTAGAGTGCTCCTGATGTAAATGTTCATTTTCTATTCTAAATGAATCAATGAAATTTGCTCAATTTTATTTTGCAAAGAAGTCAAAATGTGAAAAATTTGACAGCAGATACTTCACTGTAGATTAAGATCCGTTATCAATTTGGGTAATGAAAGCTATAGAGTACAGAAGTGTTCATTGACATTTTTCACACATACAACCTGTAGATTTTTACCTGTTAGGTAAGGTGTTATAAAACACTGGATTTTTTAAGGATTACACGAAATATGTGTACCTTGTTAGAATTCTGCAACTCTTATTGTGGAAGTAAGAATGTCTTTGCTTGAATGAAATTGATGGTTGTAGGGCGGCGCCAAGAGAAATTGCTGCGCCACAAGATCCCAAAGAAATACCTGCTGCTTAAGGAGATCGTCCAGGAACTCGCTGTGGAGCGGGAAAGGGAGAAAAAAGACCCAGTCCTAGACAAGGACTCCTACCTGTACGTATCCATGGATACAGTCAAATATTAGTCGTGTGCATTTATAAGCACTAGACTTACATTTTACTTTTATGAATTTTCATGTTTTCCTGGAAGTGCTTTTATGAGAGTTACCCAGATAGGGCTAGACTCATTTCCTTAATGCAAAATAAACATTTTTGTTAGCTCACCTGGCCCGAAAGGCCAAGTGAGCTTATGGCATGGTGGGGGGTCCGGCGTCCGTCCGGCGTCCGGCGTCCGGCGTCCGGCATCCGTCCGGCATCAACTTTTTACTTTAAACAACTTCTTCTCAGTA